AAAAAACTGGTGCTGTTTATTTAACGAATAATTTAACCCTATCAGGTCTTGAAGCGTCAATCAGAACCGGTTGATTGGCCAACCGCCGGCGTGCGAGTGTCACTCTTGTACGCAGTTCAAGTATGGCGACGAATTAATTACGAAAAATCACCTCCACTCTTAACAAAAATATCGTTTATATAACGCGGTACGTTTAAATACCGTGATTAACGCAGCATCAGTGTTCGATCACAGTTCTTTTTTTAGCTTGGAACTTTGGACTCGTGGTCTATCAATTCTATGAGTATCAATGAGATTCATTAAAGCATGACTGCCCCCTATAACATCGCTATTTGCTTCTATCATCACTGAAATATTATTGAAATTACGCCTGCTCAAAAGGTTTTCCCTCTTTGGGCAACAGTGACGCGTAGACCACGAATATTTGTGCACTTTTCAATTCTGACGAGTTAGAAGCAAAGTGGGAAATCAACTGTAAAAATTGCAATTATAATTGATCTTGTATATCGGACATTTTATTTATATTGGATTTTATATAATATTGTAATGTTTCACATACATTGGATATTTTATACTTTCCATAAGCGCAGAAAAATCCGCAGCCTGGTCGTATGAATAAAACATTCGCACGGCAAAAAAAANAAAAAAAAAAAAAGAAAGAATGATTGCGATCGTGTAACTCGCGTCTATTAATCGAATGATTTAAATTTTAAAGCGAAGGTTGCGGAACGCACAGACGCATAACGCGTTCGAGAAGTTCTCCTCACTTCGTTAAAGCACGAAGCATAAACGTTTTCGCTAGATATTGAAATTTCATCTCGAAACGAACTTCTCGGTGATGTTTACGTACAGGCTCTTACGAACTCTGCTCTTTCACGCGAATTATAAGTATACTGTCCCTGATCTGATTGCAAAGTGGCTTCGTCTAACGAAACACGCATACATTATTCGACATTTGCGATATTTTTTAATTAACATTCATCTCCCTTACGCGCTTACTATGCCGCCTCGCGATCTACGGCCACGTGAGCTTGACAATTTATTAATAAATTATATTAACTAGGAGATAAAGGCCTTAATCTCTTGTTAATTACACGCGCGTCGAGAATTTTTTTATCCCGGAAATTGCAATATCTTCTATCACAGTTTTTCAATTATATTCAAGTATAAACCAGGCGAAACAGATAATAAATTTGATTACTTCTCAATCATTTCTATCCAGTGATATCATCGCCGACGAGTTCAAAAGGGAAAGAAAGCGACGAATTTTATCGTATACGGCTCGGTCACTCGTTATGGTCCGCAAGTGGTTCAGTAAAAAAAATGGTGAGGCACCAGCACGTTCGTCGTATCTGCTTGCATATATAATCACGCCTGGCAATTAGATACTTTCGAGGAATGTGATCCTACTTCCCCGCCCGATAATGCCATCCACCGAAAGAATATCCCCATCGATCATTGTACCTACGTTTCCCTCGTATCGAAACTACTCGAGATTTTCACGCAGCGTGAACAGAGGCTGAGGGGGATCGAGATTCTTGTCGAGATCTATCCCGAGACGGATAGGCGGACGCATCAGAGCGGTCTTAAGTGGCTCTTGACCTCGCACTTCTGTTACAACGTTACGTTACACGCGTGTGTAACGCAAGCGTCTAACCTCTCGAGCGATAACGTCATCCTCTTTTGAAACTCATCGGTGGTGAAGACGAAACGAGAGATCGAGCAGCGTGAGACGAGGTAGATCCCAAGAGGCAGGATCAACGAAGACGTTTGTCTAATCTTCACGAAGGTCGAACGGATATGCGCTATGTGTAACGCGCATATTTTAACGCTCGGTCACATATATATATATATAAAATATTAATAATAATAATTATATTTAAATTATAAATTAATAATTGATAAATTTTATTAAAATATAAAATAATTTTATATAAAAATGAATAATAATTATATATATATATACACATAGTAAATAAATTATTGTTTATATAATATAAATTTATATATAAAGTATATAAAAATTTAATTTTTTTAAAATAAAGGTAAAGATAATAATAATATAAAGTAATAATATTAAATAATAATATAAAAATAATGCATATATATATAATATTATATATAATATTTTTTATATAGATAATATTATGTATATAATATTTATATAAATATATATAATTATATATACATATATAATATTTTATGTATATAATGGAAGATCGAAAAATTTTTCATTTAAATTTGATTGAAAGTTCTGCGTTCTTTCGTTCGTCCGACTCTTGTTAAAAGAAACCAAATGAAATATCTAATTTCTAATTTCTTTGTTATTCGAAATGCTACTTTGTGCATTGTTTTCTGTATTGAATTGATAATTACGTAATTAAGGAACAAATAAAGCGAAGTAGGTGAAGTCACAGCTAAGAGGTTAAGTTTCTTCAAGAGTTGAGAGTTCTTAAGAGGTTAGATTTCTTGAAGAATTAAGAGGTTATAAATATGTAGAAATGACGTAAAATGAACTACTACTCTAGTCTATTCTAAAATGTCTAAAATTTACCAAATATGTTTCATTTTTCGCAAAAACTTTAATTTAAGTAACAAATAAAGCGAAACAAGTGAAGTCACAGCTAAGAAGTTAGATTTCTTGAAGAACTAAGAGGTTATAAATATTTAGAAAAGACATAAAATGAACTAGTACTCCAGTCTAGTCTCAAAATATTCTAAAATGTCTGAAATTTACGAATATGTTTCATTTTTCGCAAAAACTTTAATTCAAGTAACAAATAAAGCGAAACAAGTGAAGTCACAGCTAAGAGGTTAGATTTCTTGAAGAACTAAGAGGTTATAAATATT